CACCAAGGTAGGGCAGTGCGCCGTGGACTGGTGCACGTTGTGGGTGATCGCGGAGTCATGGTGGTGACAACAGTGCCCGCCAACCTCGGCTCACAGCTGGCGCAGAGCCTCTCTGCGCAGACCTCGGCTCACCCTCTAGAGCGCAGAAAGGCATTCACTAAGAAACCTCACCTGATCAAAAGGCACGCTGTTCAGCGCCCTGGCGAGGGGGTGGCGACCGGCAGACAAGAGGTTTTGAGCCAACAAGAACAGCCCTGCGCACGCTTGCGCCGTCAACAGCAAGCGGCGAACAGCGTCGTCCGGCCCCCCACACACACATACCCACCATCCCCCACCACACTGGATCATACAAACCAGCCGCACACTCAAATGTAGTGAAGCAAGGCTTGGGATCGGACGTGCGTCCGCACCTGAAAATGGCCTCCTGGGGAGGGTACACCCTGCCAGACGCCCACTCTCGCTCCAGGAAGCCCTGCAGCTGCTCGGCGTACGGCTTGCGCAGCTCAGGGCCCAGCACCTGCAGGCCCCACCATGGTGAGCATCGCACGTGAGGCGCGAAGCTGGGGCTCGGGGGCATCAGTGCGCATGCGTTTCGACGCAGAGAAGGGCCGTACCCTGCCGTTTGCGCAACAGCACGCCAAGCGGCTGCGGCCGCTGCTCGTGCAAACGGACGCTGCCCGGCGCACGGTGCGCGCTGGGGGGGTTTACCAAGGCCAAGACACAACCGTGGCACAACCGCCCTCTCGCCTACTGCTGCCCAGCACCACGTTCCACCCCCAGCCACGTGCCAGTGCCCACCTCGACCCAGGAGGGCTCCACCAGCAACTCTGACAGCCTCGGCTGCCGCCGCTCCCGCGCCGCCGCTGCCAGCGCCGCCCGCACCCCCTCCTGGTTCCTGCGGTGCCGCGCGTGACCCACCCGTTCGCTCAGGCCGCCTTGGGGCGGTGCACCCCGCAGGGCCCGGCTGTTGCGCTACAGCAAACCTATCCAGGAGCTGCGGCTGGCTGTGCAGGGCAAGGTTTGCGCGGGCCAGCCCAGTCACCTGGCGGCGACCTCGCCCATCTCCACTGTTGTCAAGGCCCGTGGCGGTCCCGCCTTCGCCGCCTTTGCCTGCCCCCTCGCCGCTGACATCAGCGCGTCAAGCCCGCTCGGCTTTTGGGCAGCAGGCGGCGGGCCCGTGCCGCCGCCGCCGGAACCTCTGCCGTTCGCACTCGAGACCCTGTGGGCGCCTGCTGCAGCTGGTGCGGGCGGAATCTGCGGGTGGCTGGCCGTGGCCGTGTCATTCCCAGGTTGGCCCCAAGAGGCGCGTTCTGCGGCCGGTGTGCTGCTGCTGGGTGGCTGCTGCTGCTGCTGCTGCTGCTGTCGTGGTGGCGAACGCACCACCGGCAGCGCTGGTCGTCGCCGGGTTGGTCCTCGAATGGGCGAGCCCTTCGGAGAAGCTGCTGACAGGGGCCCGAGGCTGGGCGTGGACGGCCCACTCTCCTGCGATTTGTGTCGGTCCGTTTCCGTGTCGTGCATGGAGGAATAGTGCCAGGCAACTCCGTGTGGCTAGCGCACACGCATCTGCGACAGCCAGCGCAACAAGCGACACAAGATACACAAGGACCGCGCTCCAGCCCAGCCCACGGCAGCCATCTAAGGCCACCTTGGATGCCTGATCATCGTTTTTGGCCCTTTTTGGCCCGGTGCTTGCAAAAAATTCGCCGATGCTACGTTGCTGCACGGCAGCGCCGCGCTTCATATTGCCAGTCGCTGCGGTGCCTGAACTATTGAAAGACCCTGGGTTCCACGCAAAGCAGGGCCTAGCACGCAGAAGCATGCGTCGATCACGGCGCCAAGATCTGTAAGTAGGCCACGGGGCTGCAAGCGGTTCTGCACAACAAAGCGATTAAGAACGTATGGATCCATACGGATGGCGAGCCTCGCCTGACCTGACAGCGTCCATTGGCTGTTCCTGCAGCAGCTTCCCGCTCTGCCGCCCTCACTCAAACTCAAATACGATGCTTACATAGACGCATTACCGACAAAAGACGAGTAAATACATCATCACCTCTGATTTGGAAGGACGTTACACAGCTTCGATGCTGCAACCACCCGCGTCCTGACACACGTACATAGCGAGAGCAAATGCATCAGACGTGGCATGTGCGCCGTCTTTCGTCAATTTTAGATGTGTCGGGGCGCTGATTGGGCGGCTGCCAAACCCACGACGCTGTGTCGAAGGCGCGACAATTTTGGGACGCCGGTGCTGCTGCCGCTGCTGCTCGTTGGCGTGCTGCTGGCCAGCGCGCCGCGGCAGGCGGTGGCAGCTCAATATGGGAGCGATGCGATATACACAGAGTATCCAGAGGACCCAGACGGTGAGGCGCACACGGCGCAGTTGGCGACCGTCACCTGCATTCCAGCAAGGGAAGGCACGACTGCGGTGGGTCACGTGGCAATGTGTGCGCAGTTGTTGTGCATGTGTGCTGCACTCAGGGCACCCATGCCGCAAATCAAGCAGTTGCTGATATGTCACATACACAGGGGGCTCGTTGAGCACATGCTGGGTTCCCGACTGCAGCGCGGTCTTTCCTGTGAAGCGATGCGTCACGGTGAGGTGGCGTGTGTGGTGTCAGACCGGATAGGTCGGCGTGTGTTGAGGTATCCCTGCTGTGTGTACCTGGTTCTTTTGAAGAATCTAGGCAGCAGGATGGCAACGCATAGATCACAACAAATGGCTTGTGGTGGCGGGTGCAAGCACAGCAGTGGTCCTGAGCTGGGCAACCACGCCGGGGATGGGATCGTGCACTGCAGACCAAGAGGAAAGGCAACTGTGACGAATTGCGGGACGCAGATGACTGTGTCAGCAACCAGTCGGCCATGGCAAGGGTTCTGTTGTCAAGAGCGCCAGTCTGGGTTGGGCCATTGCCATGAGGCCAACTGCAACATCATCAGCAGCAGAGTGACGGA